CTGGTAACCTGTTGCAAGCTTCCCAGAACAAGCTGCTTGGCTGAGACTGAAAGCACCTTCCCGAGCATGGGGCAAAATAAATCTCAACAGCCCTATGGACTCTCTGAACCCAGGGCTTTGGCTGTATTGTCTTTACAATCCTGGCTACTCAAAGAGTGCTCTTCTACCACCACCAGCACCAGCAGCAACATCTGGGAGGGTGTCCATGTTCTTGGTACTCAAATTCTGTCTGTAGGACCACAGGCATTGGCTTCCCTTGGGTACTCATAGGAAACTAGAATCTCAGGCCCTATCTGAAGACCTAATGGATGGGAAGCTATATTTTAACAATATCTCCAGGAGATCTGTGTGTACATGAAAATTTGAGAAGTATTGCTGTGTCAATGGTTCTCCAAGGATGCTTTAAGGAAACACCACCACAGAAATGTATTCTCTCACAGTTCGAGGAGCTACAAGTCCAAAATCAAAGTGATCGCAGATTCTTCCTTCTGAGAGATCTTAGGCTGAATGTATCACATGCCTATCTCCTAGCTTCAGGATTCTTTCAGGAGAGATTTTGAGTTCCTTGGCTTGTAGATGTACCACTCTTATCCTAGCTTCCATCATCACAAGGCCTTTCCCTATGTCTCTAGGTCCAAATTTTGCTCTTCTTATAAGGAAAATTATTAGGGGCCTGCCTTATTGCAGTATGACTTCATCTTAAATAATGATAACTGCAATGATCCTGTAAAGACACATTCTCACGTACTAGGGGTTAGGACTTCAACACACCACTTTGGGGGCATGCAATACAACATATAAATGTCTGTTATTCTTAAATGCTGGGAGACTGGCTGATTAACAAACCCCTGGAACATTTCCATACGTTCATTTTATAAATAATCCTGAAAATTAAGGAAGAAGACTTAAGGCCCAGAATTAAACTTGGGAACATCTAATTTTTGCAAAGTGATTCTTGTATACAGGCAACACACCTGAAGTAGCTCCACTTTTCAGCTGACCCAGCCCAGGGGCAAGGTCATCAATGGAACAAACTGGGGATGCTTCCCACCTTGGCTGCCCAGTGGAACCACCTGAGGAGCTTTAAAAATGCTGCTACCAACACTCCACCCTCAAAATATAGTGTGACAGTCAGACAGTGTGATCTTTCCAAAGCATTGCCTGGACATCAGGATTTTCAAAGAATTCCCAGGTGATTCTCATTTGCAGACAGATTTGAGAATAATGGGATAGTCTCATTGTCACATGTGCAAAAGAAGATTGAGTCTCTTTTCCAATAAGACATTGAGACATAAGCACAAATAATGTGAAATACATACAGGCTCCTAAATAATATTACTTTAGCTTTCTATAGTTCTTGTGTGCAAAATGAGGATGGCATAGGAAGCACAAGAGCATATGTATCTAGCATCAGTCTCAAAATATCCCATGACAGTAGTAGTGTTTATTTCTCCTTGTAGTTATGCCAACTTCTGAAGTATACTTGTTGTATTTTTATTTGTTTCTTAGAAATATAAAATTATTATTTCTTCTCAAAAAATTAATCCCTTATTATAATAAATTACTTCATTTTTTCTTGCAATACATTTCACCTAAAAGTCTATTTTTCCTCCTGTGGAATGTAGCTACATCAACTAGCTGTGTGTATATGTGTGCATGTGTGTGTGTATGTTCCATAGTTTTATGGTATATTTTCCCCCATCCTTTAACTTTCAAACTTACTATATTATTTTTAGATTAATCACTTGAGTAGAATAAATCTGGATTTAAAAAATTTATGCAGACAACCTCGCTCTTTATCTATAGCATTTAGTCCATTTATATTTAATGTAATCACTAATACATTGGTAACCCAAATATTTAACTAGGAAACTTTGTGGAGGTTGCAGTTTTCACAGTGACCATGGGAGGGTGACTCAAGGGGATGCACAGGCATTTATGTCTCAAAAGAAAATGAGCAATTAGGTATTTGCTTTCTGGGAGCATGTATCCCCTACAATTTCTGGCCAGAAGGAACAGGATATGCACTGGGGGACAGGAGTGTGGTAGAAGAGAGGACATGGGAACAGGTCTATGTGCATGTCTGCTGGTGGGGTGAGGGCAGTGAAACGTGCTCAGTGGACTCAGGGGAGTGTCTCTTTACCAACTCACACAGAAAAACTTTAATACTTTAATAAGCAGCACTGGCATACTGCTGCACAAGCAATTCAGAGTGATATCAGCACTACACATACATTTTGGTTTAAGTCAACCATCTTATTTTCTGTTATTTATAAGATCTGTTGTATGTCGGGCTCCCTCTCCTTTCTTGCCTTCTTTCATTACTTCATTTTTTGCTATCTCTTATACCGTTGACATGCCACATCCTATTTCTATTTTTAAAGAAATTACCCTAGAATGTTTATGCATCTTGAATGTTTCAAGGTCTACTATTAATCAGTATATTTGCTTTAGGTTTGCTTCAGAGCACCTTAATTTCACTGACCCCCTCAACCCCCACTACCACAGTATTGTGCATTCTAATTCTCATATAATGATATATGATGCTATTATCAGAAATCTATAAGATATTATTACCATTGCTGTCTTTTAAAGACATTGTCCATTAATTTTTTCTTCACTTCTTGTAGTTCTGTGTTAATCTGGGATCATTTTCTTGTGATCTAAGGATATACTTTACAATTTCTTTTAGAGAACATGTCATCTGAAAATGCCTTTATTTTGTCATAACTCAGAAAAAGATGCTACCCTGAGGATAGAATTATAAGCGGGCAACTAATTTATTTCAGCACAAGGAAGACATTCTCACCACAGCTCTCAGAAAGCTGTCAGTCTATTACTACAAATCTACCTTTTTTTCCTCTGGCTACTGCTAAGACATTTTACTTTGTGTTTCTGAAGTGACACTATTATGTCACTTTTTATTTCTCCTGCTTGAAATTTGTTGAGCTTCTGATTTGGTAGTTTGGTATCTTTCTGAGAGAATCATTTCCCGAAATATAACATCTGATCCAATCTTTTTTTTTTTAATTTCTCTTTCTGAGACTATGATTAAGTGAATGTTACATCTTTTCCTGGATCTATTCATCTCTTCTGCGTTTCCAATCTTTTTCCATCTGTGCTTCATTCAGGATAAATTCTTCAGCCATATTTTTAATTTCATTAACGCTTTTTCAGCTGTGTCTATTGTGCTGATAAACACAGCACATATATTATCAATAATTTCTTGTTATTATACTTTGCCATTTCTAGAAGTTCTACTTGTTTATTTTTGAACTGGTTGTCATTTTTTACAGCTTCCTGTTCCTTGTAAATATTTTAAAATATTAAAACCTACTTTATTCAGCCTGAAGCATAATCAACTTTCTCTTTTAATAATCTATGTCTAACAATTCCAGTGTCTGATATTTCTGAGATCTGTTTCTATCATTCATTGTCCCTGTTCTCCTAATTCATGGTGCCTATATCTGGTTATCTTTGACTATGTGCTAGCTATTGTACAAACACTTATTTAATAAGACTAGAATGAAAGAGCCTTTCTCTACAAGGGATTTGCTTTTTTCCTGACATGTCTGGGATCCTGATATACTAAGTTTCATGCTGGAGGCTTCTTGGAAGGCCTAGGCAATTCATACTGCAGATCACCCTGCAGGTATTTGTGAGGGCTCAGCTACTTAGGGGTTATGTTCACCTTGAAGGGGAAGCCTTTGGGTCTCAGTGTATTGTGGAGAGGGTCTACTATTACATCTGTACTATGAGCCACCCTGGGTGTTGATTACTGCTTCCCTTTCCTTCATGAGACTATCAAACCAATTTCAAGTTTGTCTGATTTAGGACATGCTCTCAGGATACAGTGTCTTCTGTACTCATTTATCTCTGAGTTTCCATTGTCCCATCACTTTCTTCCTGGTAATTCCTACTGTCATGCCAACTCTTTGAAGGCCTTTAAATATCATAATTATTGAAAACTGGTTTTAAGTTGTTTTCAGTAGAAATTTGGGTCTAAATAATGTAGCCTACCATTATTAGAAAGAGGAAGATATGTAATGCCTTTCTTGGTACACAGCAGGTACTCAATAAGTGATGGCTAAATTTATAGAATTATTGTAATTTCCCAAGCATGCTCCATTGTTTGCTTGTCTTTACTTACAGGGGCTGTTTCCTACAATTCCCCTTACAATGCATTTCTCCTTCCCTATCCCCAGCCCAAGAATGCCCACATCCTGCCACTGACAAGACTCAGAACAAATGCCCTCTTTCTACCAAAGTTTTCTCTACTTTCCCAAATCTGAGCCCCCTGTCTTGCCTATTTCAACCCTCACAAGATCTAGTATGTCTCATTCTCTGGGCATTTAACTAGATAGAACTATATTTGCACACACATTTATCTCTCCTCCGCTTGAAATTTATACTTCCTTGTCATTTCTGGCTTTCAAAGAATTCACTCCCTTCCTTTCCAACTCAGTGTACATTATAAACAGACTGTTTTGAAAATCTTATATCCAGGACTTTTAGGTGCTGCAGCTGGAGAGGATTCTCTGAACATTTAGTCTGCTCTTCTGCAGGTAGTGGGATTTACTTCATTCTAATACAACTTACATTTGCACAGCCCTTTAGAGGCCAGGGTGCTGTCACATACACGAGTTTATGGAAACTGACTCCACTGCTGCTGTCACAAGAATGCAGATGAGAAACAGAGAGTAAGAGAGACTAAACATAAGCACAATGGAGTCACAAAGTCAGAAATGGAGCCTACACATTTGCACTCCGAGCCTAGATAGGACTGATTGCTGGTCATCGCAGTGGCTTCTCTCTCTCTTTTTTTTTTTTTGTGCCATTAGTCATTTCTGTCACAGTGACCCCTGGAACTTGTTTGGAACACACATTCAGTACCGGAAAGTGCATATGGCACAGGAGTTAGGTCGCAGGCAGGAAGAGGGAGACTTATGGAGGTTTCCATACATGCGTTTCTTAGAAGGCTTTCTGTAGTTCAGTCCTGCTTACCTCACAACTTTGGTTCCATTTCTCACGATCTGCGTGTCTACCATACAGCCCCCAGTAACATAGGCAGCCAGGTTCAACTCTGAGAATTCTGCCTGAAAGATAAAGCAAAACCAAAAAGGACTCATCATATATTAATGGTGTCATAACTGCTGATATTTATTGAGCACTTTTATGTACCAAATATACATTTAAACATTACCTCAATGTTATTTTGATCTTCCTTTTTGAAAGATCAGGCAGCGGATGTGCACAGAGGCATGGTGACATGTTCAAGATCACGAAATTAATAAAAGGAAAAATTGAATTGAAACCCAGGCAAGGACCCATGCTTATAAACATTGCTCATTTTCACTTTCTTGAAGTTGAGAGGCCACTCAAGTTCTATGACTATAAAATGCCAAATGTTGTTAGGTAGATCATTTTCACTAGGTTCTTCAGCTTTGCGCTATGTAGTGGTATGGCATCACAGCTCTGTGGTTTCTTACTTCTGGTAACAGAACCCTCCTCAAGTTATCTATCCAGTATCCCTCATTTGGTGATGGGCCCTCCCCTTGTTCCATCCATGTGGTTGCAATGGAAGCACCATGTCTGTGTACTGATGTCCTGATTTCCCCTTTTGGTCACACCAAGGTGTAGGCATCAGGGTGGAGAACTAAGATACCATTTTCTGAGAATTTGAAACTGCTGAGTGATCAATGCAGTTTTTTTTCACTAGGTGATTTTATCTTTAATGCACAAACATGCGTGCTCTGTGGGACCATATTTTCTGTTAACTGCATCGGAGAAGCATAGAAAACCAGAGTGGATGGAGGAAGGAAAAAGAAGCAGCAGAAGGAGAAGGAGGAGGAAGGAAGGAAGGAAGGAAGGAAGGAAGGAAGGAAGGAAGGAAGGAAGGAAGGAAGGAAGGAAGGAAGGAAGGTGACAGTCACCCAGAGAGGGAGAGGACAGGAGCAAGAGATAAGGAGTCCTCTTGATGTTTATGCACCAGCTACAGTCATGCCTTTGGATTTTGTGAGTTCATCTTCACACTTGCTGATTTGCTTAAGTAAGCATTAGTGAGTTCCTGTTGCTTGCAACCAGAGTCCTGTGGAATACATCTTTCTTCCCACATTCTATGTTTTCTGGGGACAGACGCATTGTTACTACATCTCTATTAGATTCCTAGGGCTGCTGTAATAAAGTACCACCTCTGGGTGGCTGAAATAGCAGAAATTTATTCTGTACAGTTCAGGAGGCTACAAGTTCAAAGTCAGTGTGCTAGTACGGCTGGTTTCTTCTGAGGGTTTATGAAGGAAGGATCCATTCCAGACTCTTTCCCCTGGTTTGTAATATCTTTTCTCTGTGCCTCTTCACATTGTCTTCTCTATGCCTGTTCCTATAGCCAAAGTTCCTCTTTTTATAAGAACACTAGTCATCTAGGCACACTTGCACATTAATGATCTTGCTTTAACTTGATGATCGCTTTTAAAGGACCTATCTCCAAATAAGACCATATTCTGAGGTTCTGTGGGTATGACTCCAATGTGAATTTTGGGAGGTGACAAATCAACCTATAATACCATCATCTAAAGGACATAGCACAAGCTGTGCTTTAAGCACAGTAGATGCTCAAGGCATTTCTTTGGATATAATGAATCAACATTACTGCTCACATACATGATGTTCTCTTTATGCATTTCACATGTATGAATTTATTCAATCCTCACTTGTCCACACCAGGAAACTGACACAGAGAACGATGGGATAACTTGCCCAATGTAACACAGTAAGCAGAGTGAGTACTTAGCTCGGGCAGCCTGGCGCCAGAGCCCAAGAGCCTTGGCATTTAACTAATGTACTCCACTATCCCCACTGTGCAGCTGAAAGAGGCATTAGGTGGACCATAAATGGGAATTTTCAGGACCTAAAAGTAACCCATTTAAAGAGAAAAAAGTTTACATTGAAGGAAAATATCATTTCATGGTAATTTAAATGTCCCTCTGGAGTCATTTAACAGAAATTAGATTCAAAGACCTAGCCCTCTCCCCAGATGGCATAAAAGGAAACCCAGAACACTTACATCTCTTGCTCTAATTAATAACCTCATTATGCTGTGGCAAGGTGAAAAGAAAAGATCACTGTTAATAAGTTGAGGTTGGTAAATAGTGGTAATGACCTAGTTATTAAGCCTCATGTCTTTCAAATTCAGTCCCATCATGTTCAACATACTTAATTGGCAAGATCACAAAGAAGAATTAAGAAAGGTTCTTGCTTGTGTGTGGCAGAGAAAAGACATTGGAAGAAAGCTGCCAAACAGGAGAGCTGGTCACCAGATATATGAAGAAAGGGAGTGAACCAGAATTGTGGAAGGTAGCATTTCCTACTTGAAAGTGGTACATATTCAGGGCCCGTCCTGCTACCCAAGGGAAAGACACATCCCAGCATAGAGGACACACTCAGGCTTAAATACACAAGTTACAAGTTCCCCTTGTTCAGATCTGTGTGACCAGAGTTCTTTCCCAGTCATGGCTTATGAGCAATTCCAGGTGAATGCCAGGGTTATGGGTAGCAAGCCTCGGCTGAAGCACCAGAGTTTAACTTTCTAAAAATGTCAACAGCTATGGGAATGACCACAGCTGTACCCACACCACTTCTCCGCAACATGACTTGCTGCTTCTCTTGGTATATCTTGAATAGCAGTGACCTTGGAAGACGCACAACACTCCCATGGAAACAGCAGTGTATATAACCATATCTCCCTAGAAAAATATACCAAAATCCCAACCTCTGATACTGTTGGGGACATTGTTTTCAGAAATAACATCTTGGAAGATGAAGTTAAATTCAGGATCTGGAGACGGGATCATCCTGAATTAGGGTGAGCCCTAAATCCAATGGCAAGTCCTCAGGAGGGAATAGAAAGGGAAACAGACAGAAAGAGACATGGCAGAAGGCCATATGGAGATAGAGGCAGAGATTGGAGTGAGGCTTCCACAAGCCAAGGAATGCCAGGAATCAGTAGAACCCAGATGAGTCAAGGAAGGGTCTTCCCCTACAGCCTTCAGAGGAGGTGCAACCCTGCTGAAATCTTGACTTAGGATTTCTGTCCTCCAGAACCATGAGAAAATTAATTTCTGTTGTTTTAGGCCAGCTCAGATGTGGTAATTTCTTATGGCAGCCCTAGGAAATACAATAACTTTAGAAAATGAATGCAATTTCAGTATTGCATACAAACTCCTCAGAACTCACTGAAGGCCAATGTGGTTAGGTCAGTCCTTTACCTACCTCATCAAACACATGCACTCTCTCTCTCTCTCTCTCTCTTACACACATACACACACACAAAGGTCATAAAGCAGTTATTCACCATATTGCAAAATATTATTATCAGAACTACTTAAATTTTCTGCATGAGTTAAAACCTTTTGACTCCAAAATCATTTTAGCTTCAATTGTCTTTGACATGATGAATTGTATTTGATATATCTTTTTTAATACTACACATTAGGTTTCATGGCAGGGATAAATCTGTTCCTAGAGAGACCACATTCAAATGTAATCTATTCAATATTCTAGCTGAAGAATTTTGTCAAGCCACTAACTGCTCTGAATCTCAGTTTTGATATCTCTAAAATAGAGATGATGATATCAATACTGCCTATCTTTATAAGTTTTTGTGAAGAGTCAATTACCTATGTGAGGCAATCAGAGAAAGGCATCTGTAAAGAGTTGTCATTGTTATTTCCCAATATTTCATTCTTTTAGTAAGAGTATACTAAAAAGCATCAAAAATGGTATAACCAGAAAAATACCACCGCCTTCAAGTATTTATACCATATAGGTTTTTTTTTTTTTAACTAAGGTGTAAATACAGAGTGAGGACTTCTATTTATGGCTACAATGAAGTACTGGGACTGTATTTATACTCTTGTCTTAAACAAGGAGGAACCAGACAAAATACATTAAGTATCAGTTTTCAGCCATTATACAGCAGGCATTCCAGGTCTGTGATTCCTGCAGAAAGGAAGCAAGGGAAACTGTCCCTATGATTATCCCAGCTAACTGCCTGGAGACACTTTCCAGGCAGCTGAGCAGCATGGGAGAATGCACACAGAACTCATGAGTCTTGCTTAGGTGAGGAAACAAACTGAAGTTCAGAGGAGCCACAGTGGCTGGATTTGTAGGACAGAGTGTAGCAAAAGATGTGGCTGCACAGAAAAACAAGGAGCGATCTATCTGCAAGTCTTTGGCTGAGTACTGATCAGACTATATATAATAGGAAACACACAAAGCCAGAAAAAAAAACTCATTAAAAAATAGAAGGCCCAATAATCTCCAGAATCCACTCAAAGCTGGGGACAGTTCATGTCCTCACCAGTTAGTGTAATGACCTTGGAATAACTTAACACTTAGTAGTAGAACTAAATTATTCCTGGACTAAAGGTCTAGATCGGATGACAAGCTTGTCCAGTTTTGCTTTGGGCTTTCCCAGCTTTAGAACTAAAAGTTCCAATTCTCAGAAATCCCTAAGTCCCAGTTTTACACTTGGGAACTTCTTTAGTCCCAGGCAAACTGGAATGATTGGTCATTCTATCTATCTCAGCCCCAAGAAAAGCTTAAAAGCAAAACTTGAATGGACGAAGCTTATTCCATATAACTTCACTATAGGATAAAGTATACAACTCTTTAAAGGAATACAACAAAATACAGCACCTAACACACAACATTCATGATGTCCAAGTTACAGCATTCAATCATAAATAACTACGCATGGGAAGAAAGAGGAACGTGTGACTCTAAATGAGGAGATCCTATCAGCAGAAATAGATCCAAAAAGGAGAGAAATAATGGATAGAGCAGAAATCGAAGTTAAGGCAGCTAACGTAAATATGTTTCACATTCTTAACAATATAGACGACAACACTAACATGTTGAGGACAGAAAAGAAAAAATAGAAGGAAATGGAATTTCCAGAGACAAAAATTATAGTATCTAAAACAGAAAATGCCTTGATTGATTAACAACAGTTTACACACTGCAGAAGAAAAAGTTAGTGAACTTGAAGAGAAAACAATAGAAACTATCCAAAATGAAGCACAGAAACAAAAATGCT